CTCTCTCTCTCTCTCTCTCTCTCTCTCACTCTCTCTCACGTGTTCATGATGTCATCTTTTCGCGTGCTGGATAATGTTTGTTGTTTTAGTTAGTTTGTTTGTTAGTTAGTTTGTTTGTTGTTGTGTGTTTTCATGTTTTTTTCAGGCAGGCTTGTTGGCTTCAGTTAGATGTTGGATGTTGGATGTTGTTTGTTATTGTTGTTGTTGACATGTGTTGTTATGTTTTCGTAGATCTCGTACGCGATCGGCATCGCCCGGCCCGTGTCCATGAGCATCTTTACGTTCGGAACGTCGGACCTTCCCGAGAAAGAACTCATCAAGATCGTCAACAAGAACTTCGATCTTCGACCGGGAATGATCGTGAAGTGAGTACTCCCCCGGCCATAATAAAAATATTGTTTGTTTGTCCTCACCCGACTGACCCGCCAAAAAGGTGCAGGACTCAAAACCTTTTTATTGATCTTTCCCATTCTTTTTTTTCCCACAAATTGTATCAATGTACATTATATAAATCTGTAGGCAATACATTATATGTACCAAGCAAAACAAACATTCAACATAAAAGGTATCGCCACACAAGCACACCCGAGCGTGTAGACACCATGCTGAATTTGTAAAAAAAAAGCCTACCTACCCACCCAAACTTTTCAGCCTGGGTCGGGTGAGGGCAAACAAAGATTTTTACCTCCGCCCAACGGAGTTGGAGGAGGCTATGTTTTCGCTCTCGTGTGCGTGTGTTTGGTGTTAGTGTGTTCGTGTGTTTGCGCGATCGATATTAGCGCGTCAGCCAGCGAGCGTGTACATGTGAGCGAGCAGCAGCAACGAGCGGCTGCTACGAGCGAGCGAGCGAGCAGCAAGCCAGCAAGCCAGCGTGTACATGTCAGTACGCTGGCGTATATCGTGGGTTATTCGTGTGTTCGTGAGTCGTATGGCGTATGTTGTTGGCGGAGGTATGCACTCTCCGTGAGTGCACTCTGTCTAGTTTTAATTGTGACCCCGGCTAAGATCTCGCGATTCGTGACAAACGGACACATCTCGAGTGCTATACGTCGGCCGGGGGAGTGTTTTGCTTTATGCGTATGAACTTAACTTCTACCTTTAACGAACCTTAAACTCTGTCTAGTTTTAATTGTTGCTCCGGCTAAGATCTCGCGGTTCGTGACAAACGGACACATCTCGAGTGGTATACGTCGGCCGGGGGAGTGTTTTGCTTTATGCGTATGAACTTAACTTCTACCTTTAACGAACTCGACATTTTAAACGTCTTTGAAGACCTCCTCTCGCCCAGCTCTCGCATTACCGTGTGGTTGGGGATCTTGTTTCGCACAGACGAGCGTCGCACCACACAGCGCCTGCGCCGTTCTCCGTCGTTTCAGGGGTTTGGACCTGCGAAGCACATCTACACGTCTTTGAAGACCTCCACCCCCGCCCAACTTCATCATTTGTTGGAGATCTCGCATTAGATTAGCGTCGCACGCTGTCGATTTGTTATAGATTTGTTATAGCACGTTGTTCTCTGTGTTTTCAGGGATTTGGACCTGCGGAAGCCCATCTACCAGAAGACGAGTGCGTACGGACACTTCGGACGTCCGGAGTTCACGTGGGAGGTACCAAAGAAGCTGCAGTTCTAGTGGCGCGACCTTCCGTCGATATCTGCCGTCGTCACCGCCTGGTGGCAGCACCTGTCGAGCGGCGGTCGTGCGTTGCGTTTGCGGTTGTTGTATATTTTTTGACGCGCCGGTTTCGTTGGATCGTTCGCTGCTGTGTCGTTAGCCTTGTTACCGTGGCAACGCCGGGAGAGAGAGACGTCCACCGCGGGTGGGGTGGGGGGGGGGGTCGTTCGTGTCACGTCCGCTGCGTTCGTCGTACACTGCGCACAGTTCTTACCTTCCGTGAGGAACGAGGATTGGTTTGGCGGCGTTGGCGAGAGGAAATCTCTGGTGTCTGGCGGACGAACCAGCATCTAGTAAACGTATCGGAACGTACCGGGGGAATCGTATCGGAGCCCTGCACTCCTGCGTTTCGGGGGAGAGTTCTCCTGCGTGGTGCACGGGGGAGAGTGCTACCCTGCGTGGTGCACGGGGGAGAGTGCTACCCTGCGTGGTGCACGGGGGAGAAGTGTAACCTGCGTGGTGCACGGGGGAGAGGTGTGACTATGCGTGGTGCACATGTGAGAGGTGTGACCCTGCGTACGTGCACGAGGGAGAGTGCTACTCTGCGTGGTGCACGGGGGAGAAGTGTAACCCTGCGTGGTGCACATGGGAGAGGTGTAACCCTGCGTACGTGCACGAGGCGTGGATCTCTCCCTCCCCCTCGTGGGCGTGCTTGCGGGGCGCGCGGAGGAGGGAGAGGATGGTGACCGTCGTTCTCTGTGGGCTGTCTCCACAGGGAATAATGTTTGGCTACGCTACGGATGAGACGGAGGAGTGCATGCCGCTAACGATCATGCTCGCGCACAGGCTCAACGCGAAGCTAGCAGAGCTGCGACGCAACGGACAGTTAAAGTGGTCGCGGCCGGACAGCAAGACGCAGGTGAGGGTGAGGTGAGGTGAGGGGATTGAGGGTGGTGGACGTGTCGCTGTGGTCGGGGTTAGGCCTTAGGTCTTTTTTTAGGCCTTAGGATTTCGAAGTGGGAGCTGCCCAAGACGCGGGTGAGGGATGGGTGGATGCGCGTGACAGTGTTGTGTTGTCGGGTCGTGGAAGCGGGTATAGAGGTGAGGCGAGAGTTGGAAGTGGTATAGGTGCGGTTGGTACTGCTGCAGGTTATTTATTCGTATGTAGTTTGTAGAAAAGTCCACCACAGCAGCTTGTAGCAGGTGACATATTAGTACTACTACTAACTGAAGCTGTCTGACTTAATAAAGTTAATGCAATCTCTTGACTGAGCGGTCGTCCCGTGACCGAACGGTCGATCCGCGACGGAGCGGTCGTCCCGCGACCGAGCGCTCGTCCCGCGACCGAGCGGTCGTCCTAAGTGATTGTTGTTCTGTGCAGGTGACGTGTGAGTATGCGTTTCACCACGGCGCGTGCCTGCCGCTGCGCGTTCACACGATCGTCATCTCGGCGCAGCACGACGAGGACGTCACCAACGAGCAGCTGCGTGACGATCTCATGAACAAGGTGAGCGTGCGTGCGTGCGTGTGCGTGTGTCTGAGGGAGTGCGTGCGTGTGTGTGTGTGAGTGAGTGCGTGCGTGCGTGTGTCTGAGTGAGTGAGTGCGTGCGTGCGTGCGTGTGTCTGATTGAGTGAGTGAGTGAGTGCGTGCGTGAGTGTGTGTGTGTGCGTGTGCGTGCATGCCTGTGTCTGAGTGAGTGAGTGCATGCGTCCCTTCGTTCGTCTGTGGTGCGTGCGTGTGCATGTGCTTACTTGATATGTGTTGCTTTGATGCTACGATCAGCAAGCTGCTAACGCTGCTGTGTGTTGTTTTCGTGCGTCGCCTGCAGGTCATCAAGCCGGTGATTCCGCAGCGCTACTTGGATGAGAACACCGTCTACCACCTCAACCCCACCGGTCGCTTCATCATCGGCGGACCCATGGTACGTTACAGAACAGCTGCTCAGTCACTCCCTTGCTTTACTAGCATTAGCGATTGGTTCGAATGTGCTCCTTCGCTCTATCGTAAGATTGCACACGTTCGGCATTGCCTCCGTGTTCGTCGCGGACACGTAGGCGTGACCGGCTGCCTGTGCTGTCTCTACAGTCAAACCTTGTTGCACCGCGGGCTCCGCGGATGGCGGACGACGCGTCGGCGTACAACTCGCGAGTTCATATCGTAACTGCGGAGCGTACATCTCTTGTGAGAGTCCTAGATCGTCTAGAAGTAGAAGTCTAAATCGTAAAATGGACGCCGGGGTTACAACTCGTGTGAGATGCGTAAATCGTCTATAAGTCTAGATAGTAAATGTACAGCTCGGGGCGGGGGGGGGGGATATCTTGAGGGTGTGTGCAAAATCGGAGATGTTTTATGGGTCGGCTTGCAGTAATGCGGGATATTAGCCTAGTCGGTGTTCCTGTTACGGGTGTAGGTACGCACGTGGTGGGTAGTTGGAAGCGTTTATACTGTTACAGTATCTTATATCTCCAGCGTTTTCTCAGGGGCGGGGTTTTTGCGATGCAACGAGGTTTGACTGTACTTGTATTTCAGCGTCCGGGCGACCAGTTCCGTCCGCAGGTGAAGGTACACCCCCGTAGTAGTCTGGTAGTCTGCGACGCGCGTTGCCGCGGCAACGAACGTCGCGAATCGACCTTTGTTCCGAAGGGACTCTGCCTCGCCCCCCCCTCTCGCGCGCGTGGCGTGTGCACGGGGGGGGTGGTACTCGGCAGGCCTCTCCCGATTCCCACTATCTCCCGCCTAACCTCGGCCGTGGGTACGGTGCGGGGTGGTCGTGGCCTTAGAGCGGACGCACCGTGATGGGGAATAACCGGTTAATTAGGAGTTAATTACCGGTGGAATCGTTTAAATTGACTACGTCACGAATTTTCTGTGGTAAAATTTGTAAAATCTTTGTTGCCATTTTTTTACATTAAAAGTAAGAACTAACGGGACTAAACGTATCGTCAAATTCTTACCTGATAAGATTGTTTCTCAACTAGTTAAAAATTCAAAAAACCTGGACGATTTGATATGTCCAGTGACTCTGCCACGTCACCGTGCGCAACATGGCCGAGGGAATGGAAGGAGGGTAGCGGAGTCCTTCGAGGTTTGCCCGAGTGCAGAGAGAGAAGAGGGGCGTGGTGCGCGGAGGAGAGGTCTACCCTGCGTGGTGCACGGGGGAGAGTTCTACCCTGCGTGGTGCGCGGGGGAGAGGTCTACCCTGCGTGGTGCGCGGAGGAGAGGTCTACACTGCGTGGTGCACGGGGGAG